TTCTTGAAATTTGATTTTACAAATTGTTTTAGTGCTACTGCTAACACTAATTGTGGGCTATACTCCATATATCAATCAATTCATTACATAAATCTTGCACAAATACACAAAAAGTTAGGTGCTACCCAAATTAAAAAATTATTAAGTACATATTACATACAATATATTATTTTAAGTAATTATAGAAAATTATATGAAGTCACTATAAAAACCTTTCCATATAAATGAAGAGTATAGTCTTAAAAAAAATTAAGCTTTATAAATTATGCTCCATAGTTTATTATGTTAGAATTTTTTTAAAATCAAATCAGATATGATAAATTTAAATATGCAACCTCATAATGAATAAATGAGAAATAATAAATAGAAACATACCTAGATCCATCGTGAAAGATTTAATTGTGTCGCTAGATATTTCCGAATCAACACACGGTTTCAAAAGTTATTTTTTTGTGACGGAATTTCAAAAAAATAAAATGGCGCGCATATGATTCAGAGACCATAACTACCTATTTATATTGACATATTTTTGTATTTTATATTTTCCCCACCATAAAACGAAAAATTATAAAAATGGTATCCCCACATTAAACTCATATATAAGTCCGATGCATTAAAACTCAATTTCGTCTAAGTATATTTAATTATTTTTAAACGAATCCATAAATTGATAGTATGTTATATGTAACGACCTCGGAAATTCTAAAGGAAATAAATTATGAATATAGTGCGGAAACGAAATAAATGTTAGGGTTCACATTCTTTACACATAAACTTAATGTCCCAAATAGTGCTACGAAAATTATCCGTTTAAAGGAAATACAAAAAATTAAGAAAATAGACGAAAAATAAAATGAAATTGACATCCTATTCGCAGCCCTATTGCGGATCGGGTTCTGGATCCTGATCCTATTGATATGAAATGGTTAAATAAGGAATGAACTACACTAGCCCAGTAAGAATATCATGCTACTCAACGACACAGAAATGAAGGTTGGTAGAAAATTAAAATAACTAATAGAGTACTTAATTAGACAAATGCATTTATTAATAATAAAATCATTTACTGTCCACTTACCGCAGTGAAATTTATAAAAACAACCTATGGAAATAATAACATAACACTTATCATGATTTCATATGCAATCGGTAACATGCACACATTACGAATCCATATTCAATAAATCAAACAACAACTCTCCCTTTCCATCAGCTTGCTGGTATTTATGGGAATTTATAGGGATGTCCCCACTATACATGAACCATTTCTTTTAACATTTTTAATTAATAGGCCGTCCTCATACCCCGCCCGGTATGAGTGCTAAATTAGTAAACCTCAATATCCCGTCCGGTATAAGGGTGAAATGGGCCGTTCTCATACCCCGTTCGGTATGAGTGTCAAATTACCAAGTCTTGATACCCCATTTGGTATGAGACAATGTTCATGTTAGGGTTCCCTATTGTACCCAGTCAATCCACCATCTCCCAGAATACCCAGTAAAACTGTCGTTTCATCCATTCAATTAATCACATAATTTTTCATTTCTCTTTAGCCTCCATTTTTCAATTCAACTGTAATCACATAAATAAACAAATATGCATCAGGAAATGCAATCATCTCTCGATTTTTCATTTTAACAATAGTCACATAAGACAGTAGTACATGCATTCAAAATCATAAAATCGATAAACCAGATATTATTATGCATTCAAACTGTAAAATAAATTGACAGACATCAACAAAGAATAATTTTTTGTTATGACTCCATTAATAACCCGTAATTAATTATAGATATTTTATAACTTACACAAATACCATATTATTATTTATTTAGACTTCAAATTCATAACAGAGAATATAGTGGGGGATTCTTACATAATTTGATGTCTGAAAAGCTAAGCTGTTAACTGCGTCTACTGGCAGTCCCCGGGTTCCTTGAATTTTTCTTCGGGGATTAAATCACGCCACAAATACCTACAAATATCCCAAAAAAATTCAAAATCAGTCTCAAGGTCCATTTTTGACCAATTTCTGAATTTCAGAGCCATCGCTCGCAGCGGCAATCCACATCGGGTCAACTTTTTTCGGCCGTTTTTGGCTGAATTTGGCAGATCTTGTATCAATCACTGCGAGAAAATATGTTAAGGGGCCTCAATTAGCCCAAAAAAATAAAAAATCAAAAATCACCGACGGCGGGGCTCTCCAGTGCGGCGGCTGCTCCGGCTCACGTTGCAGTTGAGTGTTTTGCTCCGGTCAACCTGTAGAGAAGGAAACAGTGATCACAATGGTAAAAAAATTACGCCAAACGGGAATCGGGAAGGGCCTCATCGGATGCATTTTGTGAAATTCCCTGCGGCGGCGCCGCTGGACTTTGCCCGCGATTTTTGGTTAATCAACCAGTCATTTTGCTCCGATTTGGCTATAGGAGGTGTTTAAAA